GCCTGCCACATGGTGGAAAGAATGAGTGAGTTCAAGTCGGCAAAGTGGATAGGCATGTTATGTGCGATTGAATATGATTGGTTGGACCTATAAGTAATAATCAATTATGCTCATTTGCTCGGCAAGCAGGCTAGTCGCATTGTCAACTTGAATGCATATAAGGCTGCGTTCACACTTTGACGGAAAAGAGGAAACCAATCGGAACTCGCAGTAGTAATAGGCGATACATTTCGCTTGTCTGCTTCTGTCATTTTGCTTCGTTCGTCTCCACATTGCTCAATTCCATCATATCAATCAGCATCAAATTATTTTAACCTTTCAAAATACGACAGTTTATTACAAAAACAATGACGCACTCACTATTCCGCAACATCAAATGCAGAATAGCGTTGAGTGGTTGTTTTAATAACGCATTCTCTATTCCGCAGTCCTATTCCGCACTGTGTGATTTCATCCTAAGCACAATAAAAGGAACAGGGAATAGAGAACAGAGAATAAGAATTTCAACCTATCAGAAACTGTGTATTACATAATACATGATTTCTTAGGGGAAGCCCCTAAGAATTTCAAACAATTTCAACCTATCAAAAACTGTGGCCCTATTCTTGAACACATATATGAATACTTTTCGCATACGAAAATGTTCTCAGTTTCTCGATTGTGATTGGTCGATTGTATATTGCTATTTTCGCACACGATCAATTTGTTAAAGAATAGGGCCCTTGAATATATATTGGATGAATTTTCTGATCGCGGTCCTTTAAGTTTATTTTTTAAGCTGAAGTATAGATATATTTAGTATATGCTCTTTGTAAAGTGAAATAAATATATGTTTAATGTTGGCAAAAAGCAAGAAGAATATTAAAGTTTCAGTGCAGCAATAAAAAAATAAATTTTTGGCATGCCAATGGGTTCTTCATTGTCCTCTACATTAGCGAATATTGTTCTACAAGACTTAGAATAAGAAATTATTACGAACAATAATATTGTTTCGTCTTTTTATTTCCGTTATGTTGATGATATTGTATTGTGTCCGTGCATAAAAACAAAGTAGAGAATGTTCTGGAATTGTTTAATTCATATCATGAAAGGCTAAGGTTTTTACAATTGACTTTGGCGACGAAAATGACGTTAATTTTTTAGATGTTAAACTAATGAGACAAGAAGGAAGAATCATCTTCGATTTATAAAAAACCTACTAATTCAGGGAAATATTTGAATTATTATTCGAATCCATTAGTGCATTAGTGCATAAAAGGGGTGTAATCATCAGACAATTAGACAGAATATTGTTTTTATCCTATCCAAAATTTCAAGAAAAAAACATTTCTAACTTAGTTCACACTCTGTTAATGAATAGTTATCCTCTTGAATTCATTTTTTCAATAATAAAAAACAGAATTAAAACTTTAGAAAATAGAACGAATTTAGATAAAATAGTGAATGTAATAATAATGAAAACGATTCTAATTCCAATTTAAAGAAAAAGTTTTTTATAATACCATATTTAAGTAAAGTATCGGAAAAATTTAAAAAATTATCACATAGTGATCAGGGCTTTAATATTGTTTACAAATCTATGAATAAACTGAATAGATTTAAAACTGGAAAAGATCGTTTGTGTAAAGAGGATCATTGCGGAGTGATTTATAAGATAAATTGTCTAAATTGTGAGTCTTCTTACGTTGATCAAACAAAAAGAAAATAAAAACTCGAATCAAAGAACATAAGATTGACATAAGAAGATCCATCTCTGAGATGTCGGTGGTTTCGCGCCACCAATTGAATGGGATGCACGAATTGGATTTGAATAATATTAGAATTTTAGATACAGAACAATCATTATTTAAAAGAAAAATTTCTGAAATGATATATTGGGTCATCTAAAAAGTATCTGCGGTTTTTTGTCACTAGATGTGTGTTGATGGTCATATATCTAGTGACAAAGTACCGCGGATACTTTTTTTTTAGATGACCCAATATTAATGATAGATTAATTTTTTAAATTAGAATCTGGAAATATTCTTGTTCTACGTAACTTGCAATATGATAATTGGCGCTGTAATATTATATGATATGATGCACCTTCACAAGATGAAAGAACATGTTTATATATACAACGTTTATATTATACGGCTGAATTTAATGTCAGATATATGTAATGCTGCGTTTTACTAATATTTGTGATTTTACTGAAGATTGCCAGATTGTGGCCGAAACATCTAAAGATTTTCATTAATGTAATGAATAATTAAATTTCACGAACAACATCCAGTGGTTTCATGCTCCTTTTTTTATATGTTTGATTTATAAACGTTCGTTAGAATTATTCATTATAAATTAATTATGAAATTTACATAAATTAGTGTATCTTTTTATTTTATATTATTTCATGCTGTCCAAGTAACATTGTCTATTATTTGCTATTTAAATATAATAAATTTACTTGTGTATAGTTTATTACGAGGGGTATCCAGAAAATAAGTTCCGTTTGTATTATACGTTTAGTAAGGTCGATGTATGAGCGAGCTGGCAACACAGCATTGAAGAGGGGAAGCTACCGAATAGAATGAGCGGCGTTCGGCGTCAGTAGCTCGTGAAACACGGTCAGGAGAGGTTATCAAAATGGAGTCCTCCACTTCGCGTCCCGCCACCTCCATTCCGATTCCTTCTCGAGTTGTTTTGCGCGGCATCATTCAGTTTCTTTTTGCTCAAGATTTTAAATCGGTTGATATTCACAAACAGCTTGTTTCTGTATATGGAGAGAGTGTGATGAGTGAATCTATGGTGCGGAGATGGGTCCGAGAATTTAAGGCAGGAAGACATTCGCTTGAAGACGAAAGTGGGAGAGGCAGACCCTCCCTTATCACGGATGAGTTGACGACAAAAATTGAAAATTGAAAAAATTGAAAAAACCCACCCACCGTATAGCCCGGATCTAGCACCATCGGACTACCATCTTTTTACGAAACTGAAGGAGTCCTTGGCCGGAAAACGCTTCCAAAGCGACGAGGAAGTTCAGACAGCTGTAACTAACTGGACTAAAGAACTGGCGGGAAGTTTCTATGCAGAAGGGATTTCGAAGCTTGTTTCCAGATATACAAAATGTATTGAGATTGACGGGAATTATGTAGAAAAAGACTAGAAGTTATCAAGTATTATCCATGTAAATTTTAGATTTTTTCAATAAAAACTTTATTTGTAAAAAAAAACGGAACTTATTTTCCGGATACCCCTCGTATATACATATATGTAGAAATTTTAAATTATATTTGAAAGAAATCATAATGCTGTTTTATGTTTTAGACTAGAGCACTGTCAACTCAAACAGCTGGCCGAGACAGATATTATAAGATTCTTGGTAGGAACACAATCTTCAAAATTCAGTAACAACCACTTAGTGAAGCTTAAGGAGGAAACAGGCAATTTAAAGACTCAAGTGTTCCAGCATCCAATAGAAGAAATTTGGTCTTTACAGGCTTCTCCAACTGAACCCGATGTATTTATTACATGTTACAATAGTTTAAGTAGTAAATAAGTCTTATATTACACATTTAATTTCTTAAAGTAACATTTTATCATTCAAATTGAAATCGATTGTGAATTTATCATTATTAATTATATTATTAATTTTAATAATTAATAGTTATATCAATTTTAATATTAATAATTATATTTTATGATATTAAATGTGTCTTTTGATGCTTCAAAGAATTATTTTTCTAGAGGAAGGTATCTGCCAGATGAAAGGAGCAGTCTGGAAATTCCCCGAGATAAAAAAGTAACGATATTCTGCAGCTCAATAAATTAGCTGATATTGATACGACTCCATACGGTACTGATCTCAAAACTATTGCCTATCACCCTATGGATGGCAAGAAAATAGGGTCAGTAGTAGAATAATTTTGTTTTGTGGGATCTAACTGAAGGACCACGGGTATCGATTTCTTATTTTTTTAAATAATCGAAATTACTAACATTATACATCGAATTTATCCTTGTTATTTTTAAAATTGATCTTTTAATTATTTTTCTATACATTCAGGTAACAGTAGCGGATACTTTAGCAGGCAAGAGTCAGCTACGATTTATGAATGGTAAGTGAAATCCTCATAATGATGCTAATCAGTTTGTAACCCTGAATGACAACAATGTTCGTGGATGGGATTTTAGAAGTCCGGCCACTGTCGCATGGTCTATTTTATCTGCACATTCCCAAATTATTAGGTAATAATGATATCATAAAGATTGATAGAATTGAATTCATATTATTTTCATCGTGTAACTTATTTCTCAAGGATTTAGATTTTAATGCAAATCGTCAGTATTTTCTATCTACTTACGGTGACGGATGGATACATGAAGTTTTGGGAAATACGACTACCCACGGAACCAGTGTTGTTACGTATGGAACGTTCACACTGGGTGTGGAACATAAGGATTAATCGTTTTCATGATCAACTCGTTTTAATGTCTAGCAATGACTCCAGAGTGATATTATACAGTATTGCGTCCATATCGTCTGAACCGTTTGGTGTCAGACGAACCTTCGGAAAACGAAGAATCTTGTGGAAAAAAGAAGTAAATAAATGTATCATGGAGTATAATTTCTTAGCCAATTCATGCATAAAGTATAACATTTTATGTTACAATATTTTAGATTAGAAGATGGTCTGGTAGGAAGATACGAGGAGCACGAAAATGTGTGTATGCAGTGGAATGATCGTCTGCTGATCCTTGGACTTTCGCGTCTCTTAGTTACGACGGTAGATTGGTTCTGAATAAAGTACCGCGTAAATATAAATATCAAATACTTCTTTAAATATATAATATATTTAGCGAAAAATAATATTATACACATCTTATATTATTTTATTATAAATTCAATTTTTCTATATATATATATATATATACAAAAAATATAAAGTATATACATAGTATATAAATGTACATAATACCAAACATAATTTTATAATTAATATATGTATACACACATATATATGTACAAATAGAATATGTGTATTCTATTTAGAATCGTTCTGATATCTTGCTAGCTATATTTCTTAATTGTCCATAAACCTTGGAAGGAGGACTGCCTAAGATTAAATTACATATCGCCCTACGAGCTAGTTGTATGTTCTGGTAAGAACCAAGAATGTGTATCTTGGTATTGGCTATCACAATCCTAGTTTTCGTTACATTCTCAATGGTAAACTTCGTTCTTCCACCTTTACCCGCTAATCTTCCAATTGCCCTAGACTGGTGATCCCCTTTCATTTGTTGTCTGACGTCTTGTATCTCGAAAGATTCTACAAAGAGATCATCCAGACGTAACAAAGCCAAAGCGTCCTCCACTTCGAATCCACAGATGAATGCTTTTACGAAGTCTGCCGCTTTTTGAAGGTACGAAATATCCGGTGTTTCTGGTGCCGTTCTAATTTCTACATTTCTAGTCTTCACATTGAAACGTACTTGCAATTTCAAATGTTCAGTGATAGGAGTAAATATTTTTATCCAGTTTTCCTTCAAAGGCGAATATCTGTGTGCTGGTACTGATATCTAGAATCACATTTGTTTAAACTTAAGTTTATTTATAAATTATTTTCCGTTATATTTAAAGATAATTTTTGTTCTTCTAAAAAATAACTTGTAAATAACTTTGTTAAAAAAAATTATTTTAAAAAACATGTCTTATTTTTATTTATTTTTTTTAAATCATTGGTTGCATTCAGCAGAAAAAGCAGCTTTGCAACTGTTGTAAAAATCTTGAATATGATTGGTTTATACATTAAGATCCAGTGAGAAACTAAAGACGAGACCAATCATATTAAAAAATTTTACAACAGTTGCAAAGCTTTTTCAGTTGAACGCAGCCATTGATTCTTACATTTAATTCTTCGCTGGATCTAACTATAGAAACCAATATTAAAGAATCATTAAGCGCTAACTAATTAGTTTTATGTGCTGAATGCAGCCATTATATATTATATTTTGTTGCACATCATATTACCTTTCTTTGTTCTCCACCTTGCACGTTCTTGGCTTTCTTTTTAACTGAATGCTGTTTTACTTTTCCCTTTATTCCATTAACTATCTCTACCTACGGGACAAGGAGTCTTTATTATTTTTATTAGTGAATACTTTATATACAAGTGCATAAGCAAAACGTCAACCAACTGTCATTTATGAAAAACAATTGACAGCGATCAACAGAAAAAGCAGTTTTGCACACACACACAACTATTATAAAATTTTTCAATATGATTGATTCTTATTCTTAATTTTTCTTAATGATTAATTATTTAATTTCATTAAACTGATGGTTTTGTAGTAATTTTTAAAGTTACCATTACAAAACTATCAGTCACAGCTTAAAAAAATACATTTTTATATTATCACCAAGTGAGGTTAAGTCTAAAACCACGAGCCTAAGTAAGGTTAACCACGTGTTAACTAGAAAATGGAAAACCATCTCTTAACAGCAATTTATTATAGTTATTTTATCATATATAATAATACATGTGCAATGATATAATATAAAGATACCGACAATGTCATTAATAATTACAGAATACACATAATTGATATAAAATCATTGATAATGTAACTGTGTGGGAACAATTTTATTTCCATAAATAGAAATTTCAGCAATATTACAGCAACGTTGCAATGTCGCTGAAATATTGCTTGAATGTTCTATACTATCTGGAGTTTTCGGGTTTGTCTGTCATGTGTTCGTAATTTTATGATATAACTATAAAAATAAATTATAAAATCGTGAAACACAATTTTAAAAAGGCTTCTTTTGCAAAATATTATAGTTATTCCTTGATTAAAGTTGTCTTCAATTTCAGAACAATATTTGTTGTTTAACACAATACCTCCATCATGCAATCATCGTTGGCTTGACGTTTTTTGGCTGTTTTCTCCATTTCAATCTCTTGCTGGTGCTGATGTTGATCAGTAATACTCATTTCTCCTCTGATTTTCTTTCTTTTCTACTGATATATTTAAATATACAATATTTTTCAAGAATAGTTTGTCCTCTCTTGTCGCGTTTATTCTCACGTGAACAGTGGAACGACGATTTCAGAAATGGCAGATAAAGATATTTTTACATAGTGTTACGTCCCAAGATCCAACCGTTGGTAATTGATACCTGGACAAACCGGGGACCAATGGCGGGTAACAAATCGAGAGTTGCGCGTCCTTTCGGTTAAGAAGAAACTTACAGTAATCCCTTCATGAATCTTGCTGGTGCGGGACACGCGGCTCAGTCTGGACTCCGGTTGGTCAGGCTCCTTGTAGGTGCTCGATGATTGGCCGGCGCTGATTCCGCTCGTTCACACACACGATCTCCAAGTCAAACGATAAACGTATACGCGCGGCGGCGTTTATTGTAAAAGGAGAGGTTTCGTCAAATATTATTATATATATGTATTTATAATTGCTCAAAAGTAATTAGTGTATTTTATAACTTCTGCAGTTGCTACACACATATCCAGACTTATGTTATAACTAATAATTAGATGCGGTTAACTAGGAAGGTTAAATAAGATGTACCTATGATTAGATTGGATTGCTCACGCGAGTAGAATTTAGGAATTAAACTAGAAATCACGATACTCCGGAAGAGACCGTTTCTCTTCGACCAGACCTGACCCTGGGAAGTTTTGAACTGACCCCTTAAAACACTCGCTGCTCGCGAGAGAGCAAGTCCCGTTTTTAGAATCCGAACGCTTCAGGAAAAAGGTGTCCCTCCATGCTGGTAGGGCGCGTGAGGTGGGGAGAAGATCAGGGGCGGTCCCTGCAGTTCTAGTGCCCCGTCGGTTATTGAAGTAAGGAAAAATTTGTAATTTGGCCAGGGACATTCCTGGACAAGTTTTATAAGTACCGCTGACGTGACACAAGTCAAGTATCACGAACTTGCTATTCGTCAATTTTGATCACGTGACCTGGTTTTAGCAAATACAATAGTAAGCTCACGATGCTCGACGTTCGACGCTTCCATGGGCGTGTTCAAGTCGACAAAGCGGCTTGGTCTGCTCACCAGCAATTAAACATGATTGGTTGGAACCATAAATAAAAACCACTCATACTCATTCGCCTAGTCGTAATTTTTGCCATCTTGAACTCGCCCCATGTAATGGCACCTTAAAGAAGTCTCTACACGAAGGTGTTCCAAAATTTATTGCCAGTACTGAAAATCTATGATGTACGTAACGTACCATTTTCAGTGGTGGCAATAAATTTGAAATAAATCCCGTAAATCCGGATGTACTAGGTATTTTAAACCGTAAGCCGTAAGAAAAGGATGAATCTTAATCAATTATTCTCCTCGCATTCGACTGTAGTTGGTCAATTTCTTATGGCTTAAGGCTTAAAACACCTATTGTAGCTACGTTCGGCAATGCAAATCTGAGGCATCGGAGTGCTCTTTTTCTACAGTGCACGCGTCATATACTACAATATAAGAGCACTTCGACATCTCAGATTTGCATTGTTGAACGCAGTTTGTAGATCCGGACTTAGGCCGCCATTCCATGGAGCAAAAATTTACAGCGGACTGGAACTGCGCGATCAATCACAATCATCATAGAAAAGAAAGCAAACTAATGATTGCAGAGTTGTGATTGATCGCGCTGATTCCGTTTCGCTATAAACTTCCGCTCTATAGGACGATAGGGTGCGGTCCCATGGTTCGAAATTGGCGCAATACGGAATTGACGGAAAGCTCGTGATTGGTCATGGCTTCTTTCCGTCGATTCCGTCGTTTTCTGTTGCGCAAATTTATTTCTTTTGCGGATTCCGACGATGCTTGCATGTGTGCGTGTACATATATATACTTATAAAAACTAATCTCATTAAGCTGATTTCAACGGAGAAAACTGTCTCCTACAAACGCATGGTTAATCAACATGTTGAGGCGTGTTCGGATTCCCACCTGGGTGTTAGTCATCCTTGTTTAACATTTGATAAATAACAAGAATGGAGTGATAATAGAATTTCCTATATCCCATGGAGCGGAACTTGCAGATGCGCAATCAATGCAAGCCAATGACAAACGCTATTCCGGTGGATCTAATGAAACAGATTTACAGGAAGGCTCTTGTGATTGGTCAACGCTAATTTCGCATTTCGGAAATTCCACGCTATGGGATATAGGAAGATACATTTTAGCGGAACGGAATGAAGCCACGACCAATCATAAATATTCCGCCAATTCCGCATTGCGCCAATTCCGCATCATGAGATCGTACTCTTACAGTCAAATACAAGGAAAATAATTGAGTGTAAGGGTGAAATCTCATGGTCAGAATACATGGTCGGAAATCACTGTGTGATTTCACTCTTAGCGTTGCATGAAATCCTTAAATATTTTTGCACTTAAAATGAGGTAGATACATATTTTGTCTTAAAAAGAGAGAAAGCGAAGATGTCGAGTACCAAAAGTGTAAGCAACGCAATCAGATCTATAGGACTTATAGACTTATAAACTTATGGATTACTTTAATGATGTTACTAATTCGTACAAATTAAAATCGTGTTGCTTAGGAGTTTTTGTTAGTATCAACATTTTCCAGTCTAGGGGCCAGTTTTATTAACACTATTTACTTTATCCACCGATTAACTTTGAGTATCGTCAATTGCTAAACTAAAAACTTATTACCTCTAATCTAATTTTGAAAGTATGAATTTGTAAAAAAATAGCCAATTATATTTACATTTAAATATTTTTTTTATCTCCACACAACGCTTTTTCTTTACTAACAAGAATAAGTTAGAAAGACAGATTTTTAAATCTTACTATTGGCTATTTTAGTGATGTAGTTAATCGATAAATAAACTTAACTGTTGATGAAACTGGCTCTATTTTTTCGGGAAAATGTCATGTAATCAGGTGAAGTGCTCTCATGGATGCACAGTAGGAGTGAACTTTAAATAATTTTTGATTGGCTATTCCAGTATAATCAGCGCTATTATACGCGAGAAAGTGCACATTGGGGAACATTTGATTGATTATTTTCAGTATTGCTATCACTATTGTGCGCAATGGTTGCATTCAGAAGTGCGACCGCTCATGAACGTTCAGTGAGTTTTTGCAACTGTTTGATCTATATTTTTACATCTAATAGTGTTTTTACATTAATGGATTAAGGAGTAGGCGTAGAAATCGACCAATCATAGTTGTAGAATATAAGAAAAATAATCAACTATGATTGGTCGATTTCTACGCCTACTCCTTAATCAACTACTATTACTGCCTATTGTAGACCATGCATTATGCTGAAACTGATTAATTAGTCTGGATCTACAATAGATGATTTGAGCCTTAAACTTTAAGCCTTAAGCCATAAGCCTTAAGTAAGAAATTGATCAATTACAGTCGAATACGAGGAGAATAATTGATTGTGATTCGTCCATTTTTTTTGGCTTAAAAATTTATTGTATCCCCGGATTTACAATAAGTTCTTAAGCATTAAACCATAAGAAATGGAATCATAATCAATTATTCTCCTCGTATTTGACTATAGTTGATCAATTTCTTATGGCTTAAATTTTAAATCTTATTGTAGAACCGGACTAAATCCGGGCTAAAGTGGATCGCACCCTATGGCATTTGCTAGATCCGACGTGCGTCGTACAATGCTTTGCAACTAATCAGCCAGAAAATAATATTTTGTATTATTGATATGAAATAAAATTCTGTTTTTTGATTGGTTGTAGAACGTCGTATGACGCACGTTGGATCCAATGTGAATCCAACAATATGCCGCATAACAACATACGGTTAGGCATACGCACAATTGAAGGAATAAGAAATTCGAAATAAAGAATAAACGATTTTAACCTATTAGAAACCATGTATTCCGATGTATCCGATTTCTAATAGGTTAAAATTGTTTATTTTTTATTCCTAATTCTTTATTCCTTCTATTCCGTGCGCAGGGTCTTACGATAAGGTACTTTCTATTTGATAACACAAGACTCAAGTCGACATGTTGTTTTATCTTCATTAGGTACCGTCACATGAGGAGTAATCTGCATAACCTAAATATTCTAGTAATTTTATTAGAATTCGTTATATTTTATTTACTAGAATACGCCATTCTGAAAGCTGAAAGGATTCACATTGAGCGTATTTCGCAGAAGATTAAAGAAATGCGACCAATTGCTGATTAGAATTTCTGTTGTACATTCTAATAGAATTGCTAAACGAATTTACGATTGGTTTTCGTAACCTACGCATCACGAAAAGTATGCCTCATAGCTGGCATCTTTCCATCGTATACATGAGCGGATGATGAATCATTAAAATCGGAAAGTCTTGTGAAACTATTCTTAGGCATATTCAACGCGTTTTTACACGAAACGAAAGAATCTGACAAAAACATGTGTCTCTCTGCCCTGTGATCCGAGATATTAAGCATTAAGTTTGTTGACCATTAAGAAAACTATCATAGAGGCAAAATGAAGCCTATAATTGCACTTCCATGGGTTCCGACTGGTTTAGTCTTTCCATGTGATGTAAAGTGGCGCACGACTTTTATAATTGTACAAAATCGAAACTCATGTGCATTTTTTTAGGCAGAATAAGTTAAAATAAGCCAAAAATTGAATTCGACGCATGGTAGTTTTATCATGTTTTGGCGTAACAAAACAATTGCGTAAAAAGCATAAAAGAACTAGACAGAAACTGATGTTCAAGTGAAACGATATGATTAGTCGGTTAACTTACGCAGGTTATACGCCCATGGAGTATAGAGAATAGGAGGCCAAACTTACGTGGACGAGACCATCAAAAAGCATAGTCAAAAGTGGTCACCTGAATTAGATCGAGATGTCGCTTTCGTTCCACCATCTAGAGCCATTATAATAAGAGTCGAGACAACAGCGATTCGCCCTCAGGATTGGTCAGCGCCATGTCTGGAACCGTGCGATGTTAATGAAAACATAAGTGTGTATACACGCACTGTGTACGTGTAACAAAGTGTGAGTTTGTGTAATGTACTCTGTTAACGTACGTGTGAATTGTGTAAACGACGTCCCAGCAATGGCGTCCTTCCGGTCTATTGTTTTGACTCTTATTATAGCGACTCTAACCACACCGTTCTAGCAGTTTGAATAGTAGGTCATACCAACATGAAGAATGCTTTATTGCAGTTTTAATGACAATTTATGTTTTCTTGTTACTGTCAGAGTATGATATCAAAGAATAAGGTCTCTATTCTTAGATTATGTATGTTGGTCGTGTGCACGTAAGTATATATGAGAGAAGTTTTGCGATTCGAACGCCATCTACCGAGCACCATCAATATCAATTCAAAAATTTGATTTTGATCATACTTTTCAAAATCTAGTTCGACTTCTTATTCTTTATACTCCATGATTAAGCCTCATATGACGGCATCCTCATCATAGTATAACTACATACAGTATGGACATTGAACTTTTTATGTGGTCTCCAATTTTTAATGCGCATACGTCGATTTCTCACCAGGAATATGGCTGCCTTCAGTAAGTTGAAATTGCAGGTTAGGTTAAATTAATTAGATTTTCTCTTCATAAAAAATATAATTAATAAAATTTAGTTTTACTAAAATATTAAATAAAATTTTTTCGGAGACGCTATATTATGTAGACTATTATATTTATATACATAAAGTATGCATTTGTGTACGTATATTATTAAATTCAATAATTATATATTTAATTACAATTTTCATGCAATATTATAATTATTTTTTCAATACATAATTATTCAATTTCCATATAGTATTTAATCAATTATTATTTTTAATTTACTTATTACTATTTAATATTATTATTATTATTATTATTATTATTAATGTGAATATTATCTTCATGTAATGAGTTCGTTAATATATTATTATATAATTCTGATTAAAAAATATAATCACTATAAATAATTTTCATGTCACGACCGAATTACGTTTTTTTTTTTAGAAAAATCATTCTGTAGTTTTAAAAAAAGTCAAATTTATAATCACCAATCCAATCCACATGGCAGCGAATCATGTGACCTGGGACTCAGTACATCAAAGATGCCGACGCTCAGTGTCCATACTGTACGTACTTATTCTGTGCCCTCATTGTCTGATGCCCATTTCTATCAACGTAGATTAACTTTAATCTTGGTTCAACTCAGATCGGAATCAAACTATGCATTAAATATTGAGATTAACGATTAAAATTTCATCAATAAAGATAAAGAAATTTTGGTTCTTTTTGTTCTGGTCAAACTTCGATCTTTCAATCTTCAATCTCATTCTTCAATGTAGTCTGATTTCGGCCTTATTCTTTATTTTTATCTAATCTTTAGAAAAAGAACGAAGAATAAAGGTAATTCACGAGCTGTTCAAACTGGCTGAAACAAAAAGAATCACGTGGTTAAAATTGATGAATATCAAATTCATTTTGATCACGTGATTCTTTTTCGTCGTTAAAACAGCCGGTTAGAGCAGTTCGTAAAAATTTATCTTAAGTTGAACCGAGATTAAAGTTAATCTACATTAGTGGAAATGGACATAAATGTCAGCAAGAACAACGCTTGTGTCATCAAATGGAAAGCATCCATAAACGCTTCCTATAATCTCAAGCTTTAAGTTGTCGTTCTGAATTCACCCTTAGGTGAGTTCACCCTTGGAAGTTTTTGAACGCAGCTTAGAGCAGTTCAAGTAAATTTTTGGAACACAGTTCAAACAGCACTGATCCGCTGATGGCGCTGATAATGCACATTTTAGAAATTGGAGCAAATAACCTCAATTAGAGAATAACCTTTTATTGTCAATAGTTAGCATTGAGAGTTTTGTGACTTTGACAGCCGTGATATTGCGAAATATTTGCTGCAGAAATTTTTGAAATTTTTGCGAATACTAAAATATTGAGAGAATATAAAATAGGCATTTATAAATAGAAAGAAGCAAAGGAAAAGTCTCGAGTTTGATATGTGTACGAAACATAATCTGATGCATTTTTTATTGGAATAAAAATAATCTTTGAGAGATTGTTAATTTATATTTTTCAGGTAATATATGTACATTCGACCCTTAGGCTAAAATAATTTAATTACAAGAAAGAAATGGCAGAAAATAATACCATCAAGTCAAGAGACAGAGACATGGACATTAACGTGGATATCAGTCGTTATTTAAACAGTGCGCCGCCTACGATTTTCGATGAGATCATCGCATTTCAGAAGCCTGGTTTATTCGATGTACAATCGGCTACTATGAGTCGAGTCTGCGACTATGATCCTTTATTCGATAGTGGACAGACAAGCGCCTTTGACGCAGATTCTCTGTGTACATCCACGACTTCATTGTTGGATGCTACAGTTAATCGGATCGAGCATAGCACATTGAATGATGCCTATAGAGACATATGGATATCATCGGAACATACTCGCAAGATATTACAATCTATTGCAACCACTGCAACTGGTACAAGCCACTTGGACCATGAGAATCTCACTATGCCTGGACTGGCAGTACAGGGTGATATGCCCGATTTAATCAAAAATGCCTCTATCCACTTCCTAGGTGAGGACGAGAATATCCATCGGAATGTGCTTACAGCGTCTGACGTGACACAGGATGAACGCGGTCTAAGAAATCTGATACAAGCTGGCTGCTATCGAGCAGCGGTTAATTTATCTGGTAGATTGCTGGCTATCTATGCTCAGGGCTATGGCAAGATTAATCAACCCAGTAAGCACACACCTCATTCTCTGCAGCTCTGGTATACAAGACTGTCACTTTTGGCCAAATTGCGGCAGATGGATGTACTGGAAAACGAGTCGAAGCCGTTCGGCAATTTAGACAAACCTGATATGTATTTCACTTTTTATCCTGAATTATATGGCACCAGACTAGGTTCCATGGCATCATTTGCATTTAGATTATTACTAGCAGAAATTCCATCTTACTATGGTAAACCGAAACAAACATTAGAAAATTTGTACAAATTATTAGCGATCGTTAATCAAATTGTAGCCAATTTCCAAGCGGGTTTCAGTGATGAGGGAATGTTTGCAAAAATCAGTGAATCTGATCAGCAAGATGCTGTGAAACTATGGACTGCCAGGAAATCTAGAATCTTGGTCTCCGTCATCAATTGCGCTATTGGCATGAGAAATTACATTCTCGCGATAGAGATACTAGAAGATCTATGCAAGTTACCTGATTGGACTATAGAACAGATAGGTATCTTAAGGTCAGCCATAGGAAGGGTACATTTGTTTCTTGGTGATGTTACAGCAGCAGAAAAATTTCTTGTCCGCATTAATAAGGAGGAAAAGGCAACAAGTGTCAGAGAGCTGGTTGATAATGGTTTAATGGCAGTTGCGCAGAATTCCTTTCAAGAAGCCTACAACTGCTTCCAAACTGCATCGACGATGGACCCGTCCAACGTAATGTTGATTAATAATATGGCAGTGTGTTTGTTGTACACTGGTCAGCTGAAAGCAGCTGTGTGGTTATTTGAGAGCATTGTTAATAGAAATCCGTTAAGAAGTCTGCAAGAACCGATTTTACTGAATATGTGTACGTCTTATGAACTACATACGACGCACTGTAAGCAACCGAAATTACATCTATTGCGACAGCTAAATAGATACAAGGGTGATGCTGCCGATATTCAGTGTTTAAAACTAGCGATGTAATATTAGTCATGAATTATCATATTGTTAACGTTAACACATTGCGATCCGAGCCCGTTATTTTTACGAGTTATATATTGTAGTTTAATTTATAAACAAATGTATAAAAATACTACGAGGATTCAACGCAAATACTCACAGTGTCGTTTTTTTTAAACTTAATCTAAATTATAAATTCTATCAGTTTTATTAAAAATTATGTTTGTTAAAAATTAGAAAAAATTAACTAAATTTAATTCTGCAATTTTTTATTAGTTTTCTTATGTTTGGAAATGAGACCACCGATACTTTGACTAAATACTTTGACCACCGATTACAATTTTTGCTATTATTTTTTAGTTTAATTGCTCAAGCTGTACTTTGGATCGGATCACAAAGCGTTAAGCCTCAGGGAAGATGTAAATGTGATATTAATAAAAATAAAAGTATGTTTTGTTATATATTCAGGCTCTGAACTTTTTTCTTTTTTTATTCTCATATCACTATTAATATATAATATGTTATTTACTATGTCATGTTCTACCAACGTACTTTGCCTTATACTGCGGTCAATTATATATAAAAAGTATGTGATTGCGCGTCCCGAATTTCCCTCCCAGGGTAATCGATCACATAAAAAATACAACAGCGGAGCATCAAAGTAAAATAGCCTTTATTACATCGTGAAACGAGGACAATTTAACGAATGTTCAACAATTGCTATAGTTTTCTCTCCACCTCACACTCTCTCCCTCGCTCTATTTCTCTTTTCTTTTTTTGCTCTCGCACGTGCCACTGAACACGTGATTTGCGCGCACGTTTTTCCTCTTTCTTCATTTATTGAATTTTTCGCTTTTTTATTACGTTCGTTTTTTAATCGAAAGAATTGTTACGGATGTCACAGCGTTCTCCGAAAATATATATTATGCAATAATCCGATGTCTTTTTACTCTTTCTTGCGTTTATAGTGTGTAATTTCTTCTTGATCATTTTTTCTGCGCATCAGTTTTCACGCTTCCAATTTCTCTCACTGTTTCCTCGTTTTCCAATTTTCCTATCATTTCACTTTTCTTATCTTTATTCTTTAAACTGGCTAGTTTACTCTTTCGCGCTTTTTCTCGCTTTCTCACTCTCTCTCTCTCTCTCTCTCTCTCTCTCTCTCTCTCTCTCTCGCTCTCTTATTATCGCGCGTTTACATTGTAGCACATTATTATTAGATTATCGAATTCCAAAATTGCATTCTCTCTCGCTCTCTCTCTCTCTCTCTCTCTCTCTCTCTCTCTCTCTCTCTCTCTTTCTCCCTGCAGAATAAAGGCACGAACTGGCGGAAAAGTCGGCCTAACTGTATAATATTTTCATTTATTTATTATGGATGGAACTTCGTGTCACAATACAATTATTTTTTTTTCTTTATTTCTTCTCTTTCCCCACCGTCGTCCTATGGGCCTTACGGCGGTTTCGGCCCATTTGAATTGTTAGTGCCGCGTAAGTTAACGACATAGTGAGCGCAGCGCAAGAATCTCCTCGTGTCGATATATATTATTAATTTATTTATATTAATTTAATTAATTTATTTATATTAATTTATGACTACACAACTATCTCGAATGCCCATTGCCGACGATCGAATGAGGACCGTCTTTCTTTATTAGATTAATACAATAGTATATT